AAAATCATTTAATTGTTGATTGGCATTATTTGATTTCCATGGTTGATAAGATTGTTGTAATTTTTGATTTAAATCATTATTACTTCTTGAGTTCTGTTGCATAAAATAATCATTTTGTGTAGTTTGTTGATTAAAATTATCCATAATATATTTATTTATTCTTTGTTGCACTTTATCTTCTTTGTTGTACATTACATTGCGCTTATATTTTTTTAAATATTGTGAACTGTCATGCGAATGTTGTGAATTATGTGCACAATCTATTGTATCTCCTATCTCACTTAAATCACTTGCACTAGTCATTAATTTTTCTGATATTATGTTTCTATCACTATTGAAATCATTTTTTGTGAATTGATTTAAATTAATATCATGTTGTATACCTTGGTTTAAATTATATTTGTTGTTATATTGATCATTATTGTATTGAAAATGTTCTTTGTTGTTATGTAAGATATCTGTAGAATATAGAGGAATAGATGCTTGTTTCGTATGACTAGAAGAACTCCAATGTTCTTTATAATGAGATACTTGTTTTGGTATGCTTGAATGAATTATGCTACTTTGACTCTGTGCATTATTTCTTAAATTGTCAAGCAACATTTGATTCTGAACAAATCTTGATTGATGTGCATCTAAAATATCTGTTTTTTGTAAATTATCTGTGTGTTGTAAAATTGATCCACCAAATTTATTTCTATTGTAATCATTATTTCCAACATTGAGTGTGCTAGTATATCCTGATGTAGGATTAATAAGTTGATTAGTTGGTTGAAGCTTCTTTACATATCCTTCATGTTTTTCATACATACTGTAACTATTTTCACCATAAGTATTTTGATAAGGATTTCTATAAGGTAAATGTTCATTTGTTATATCTGAAGATTGTTGTTCTTCATTATGATGTATTCTTAATGAATTTCTATAGTTATATTGATCTCTATAATTATCACTATTTTTATTATAAATATTATCAGTAGGCAAATCATGGATATTGAAATGTGTTTGTCCAATATTACTGGTTTGTGTTTGTGAAATTTGATCAAATCCTTTTCCAATTTCTTTATGAAATTTTTCTATCTTTGCTTGTATATCTTGCATTCCATTTCTAGCAGTATCAGGAATAGGTATTCCATCAGATGAACTGTAGTTAGAAGTATAATTCTTTTATAATAACGAATTTTTTTAGCTCCTGATACATATTGACCTTTTTCTTCAAATACACGACCATGTCCTCCATCAGTTTTATATGAATCTATTGTACTCCAATTTCCAGACTGCATATTTATATGATAGGGTTCTTGCGAAATTTGTGTATTAGATATATCTTGTTGGTTTATCTGTGAATTTTTACTGTATTCTCCAAGATTTTCAAGTCTTTCATTTTGAACATTAGGTTTTCTATGTGATGATTCAATATGTGATTGACTCTTTATTGTATTGTAGTTATTTTGCTGTATAATTGATTCTGAATTACTCATTTGATTATAAGTATGTTGATTAACTATATCTTTTGTATTGGATATATGTCTATTATTATTTTGATCAAAATTTGATATTTCCTCACCAACAGGATACCACGTATCATAAGAAGAATAATTTTTTTTATAATATCTTACTGTCTTAGGACCTTCGACATATTGACCTCGTTCTTCATGTACTTTTCCATGTCCATTATCTACATTATAGTCATTATGTTCAGACCATGTTCCAGGTTTTGAATAATCAAGATTTTGTAAATGTGAAGCAGTTTGTGATAAATCAGCATGTTTTTGAAAATTTCCAGAAGTTTGATATTGTGTCAGATAAGAAGTACAAGATTCTATGCACCCACTCGGTGCAGATAATGTATGTGTTATTAATAAAAATAAAATGGCAATATTTTGTATTACCATGTTAATCATTTGATCTCTGTAAATATTAAATAAAAAGTTTAATTATTTTTTATGAAAAACTACATAAATCAATTTTAAAATTATCATAAAATATATTTTATATTCTACATTTTATTTATCAAAAAAAAAAGAAAAAATAATAATTACAATTCAAATGTTATATTAAAATTAAATAAAATAAAATTAAAGGTTTAATTACCGTATGGTAAAAGATCAAAATTCACTTAATTCAGAGCTTAGAATTGATGATCTCACTCAGTGACAGTATGTATTGATATGTACTACATACAAGTTGGAGCAATTCCATTTATGTTAATTCCCCCTTCTTCATCATATCTTTGAAAACATTCTCTTTCATTCTTATATGATGATAATATTTTCTGTGCATTTATTCCAGTTCATATATATTCTTATCTCTTTCAAATAATTCACAGTAACTATTAATATCTTTAATTTAAATTGATAAATATTTGTAATTTAATTTTTTTGTGGTATTATTAAAAAAATATCTATTTAATTTAATTAAATATTATTAAAAACATATTTAATTATTTATATTATGTAATTTTAAATTAAACATTTAATATAATTTTTTTAAATTATATTTTAATCATGATTTATTGTATTTATTATATTAATAATTTATAAGAAAATTTATACGCAAATATTTCATAATAAATAAATTCTTAGAATTATCAAAAAAAAAAAATATTATTATATGTGAAATATATATATGTTATGAAATATATTGTTTTTTTACATTTTTCTTGTAAATGTGTAAATATTTTTTTTATTTCTTAGTAATAATTATGTAAATAATTTCCAGAAATTACTATAAAGTTAATTTGATGTGTCATCAATGATGTCATTCTTAATCTATAATTATCTTGTGATAGTGTATTAATTTATTCTTATTTCATAATAGCTATATATATAATTTCAGGTAATCAAAGATAATCATTCAAATGATTATTTAAGACATCAATGAATCTAATGCACATATGTCTTTTATTTTTGATTCTAAAAAAAGATATTTTTTATTTTTAAATATAAAAACATTGTTTAATAGAATTACATTTTAATTATTTTATATTATATATTTTATATATATTTATGTAAAAAAATATATTAATAATTTATATAATAAATAACAAAATATTATTTAAGTAATGAAATTATAATAATTAAAATAATTCATGATTTTTAATGGCCTACATATAATATTGAATAATTCTTCCTGGAATATAAACTGTGATATTTTTTATGATACAAAAAATGAATAATATTTGCAAGATAGTGTTATTAGAATTTTTGCATTTTTTTCTTTTGATAAATTATTTTTTAATTGCAATTATATTAATATATTTTATATAATTGATATATATATACATATATATAAGTATTAAATTAATTTATAATTTTCAATACTCTTGTTCAAATATTCTAATTTCAAATATCAAAAAATAATAAACATTTAATTGCATTTAATTATCTTTTTTATCATATTAGATGATTTTAAATTGATATATTTTTCCATAATATAACAAATTTCCTTGAACTCATATATATAACATTAATAATAATCCACGGCTTTTTGACCCTAGATAGACATTGACCTACAGATATTCTTCATAAAAGTCTTTCTTGAAAACAAGTATAATTATGATTAAGCATAATAATTAAAATTTGGTAATAATTATATTTTTTGTATTAAATTTTTAAATAATTTCTAAAAAATTTTTTAATTTTTTCTTTTACATTAATGAGAATATTAATAATTATTTTGCTTATGTAGAAATAATATTACTTTTAATTCTAAAATATCATTTAATTATGTGTATATATAATAATATAATATAAAATTTTAATATTTATAAGTTTAGAAATATGTATTATTTATTTAAAAAATACATAATTACAAAACACATATATAATTTAATAATAATATGATTTCAGAAACTGAATACCACAGTACGTTTTTTTAATAGATCAGATTATTATACATTACATGGTAATGATGCTTTATTTGCTGCACAAGAAATTTTTAAAACTACATCTGTTTGTAAAATGATAGGTGCAGGTAAAAATTTTAATTCAAAATTTTAATATTTTTAATCTAATAAAAATATACATATAATAAATTTATATTTAAAATAGATCCATATAAAACTGAGGGAGTTATTCTTAACAAAAATCATTTTGAATCTTTTATACGTGATCTATTATTAGTAAAACAATACAGAGTAGAAGTTTATATTAATCAAGGAACTGCAAAAAACCAAAATTGGATATTAGAATATAAAGGATCTCCTGGTAATTTAACACAGTTTGAGGATATACTGTTTGGCAGTAATGATATTGCTGTTAGTGTTCGTGTTATAGCAGTAAAATTAGGAATGGAAGGAAAATTTAGAGTGAGTAATTATAAATAATAATAAAAGATATTATAATGAAAAAAAAATTCCCGTTAAAAAATTTTTATTTTACTATATTTTATAATATTTTTAGATTGTAGGTTTAAGTTGTGTAGATACTACAGCAACTTTATTTTCTGTTTGTGAATTTCAAGACAATGAATCATTTTCTAATTTGGAATCATTGATTGTTACACTTGCTCCTAAAGAATGTTTATTAATTCAAGGTGAAGGCAGCTATGAATTTCAAACTTTAAAACAAGTAAACAAAATAAAATATTTTTTTCATACAAAATAATTAATTAAAAATTTTATTAATATAATCATGACATTTATTTCTTTCTTTCATCTTATTTTTCTTGCTTAGCTAATAGAACGAAATAATGTAATGGTTACTACAAGAAAAAAAAATGAATTCTCTAGTGAATCAGTTATACAAGATTTAAATACTTTAATAAGATTCAAGAAAGGTCAACAACAAAATGTACAATCTTTACCTGAAGTCAATTTAACTTTTGCTATGTCAGCTACTTCTGCTCTTATCAAATATTTAGATGTAAGTATTGCATATTGATAAAAAAATATTCTTCAATTTAATTTTATACTATATTATATATTTATACTATACTTATATATTTTTCCATTAGTTAACATCAGACGAAGGAAACTTGAATCAGTTTAGTATAGATCAAATAAAGCAATCACGTTTTTTGAAATTAGATTCAGCTGCTATAAAAGCACTTAATATTGAACCACGTGTTGATACTTCTGTTTTAAATGGAAATGCACCTACAAGTATTTTGAATCTCTTAGATAAATGTAGAACTCCACAAGGACATAGACTTCTTGCACAATGGATTAGACAACCTTTAAAAGATTTATCACTTATAAAAGAAAGACATGATATTGTTGAAGCATTAGTGAATGATAATGAATTACGATCTAATCTTAATGAAGATCATTTAAGACGCATACCAGATTTACAAGTACTTGCAAAAAAATTGGCTAGAAAAAAAGCAACTTTACAGGATTGCTATAAGTAAATAAATTATATATTTTTTAATATGTGTATATATATAAATAATAATTTATTAATTGTTTTTATTTCAGGATTTATACATGTATATCACATTTACCTATATTATTAGAACAATTTCCTAAAATAAATATAATAGCCTTAAAAACAATGTTTACTGATCCTTTAAATGAATTTATTAAAGATATGAATAAATTTCAACAAATGGTTGAACAAACAATTGATTTAGATTCTGCTGAAAAAGGAGATTTTTTAGTACGATCTGAATTTGATGATGAATTAAAAGGTACTTATAAAATGAATATATATTATATATATATATTATGGATATTATATGTATAAATTTTTTTTTACATTATATTTTATATTTATAATTTTATATTTATTTTATATTTATAATTATATCTATTAATATTAGAATTGAAATGTACTATGGATGAAATAGAGATAAAATTGCAAGCACAATTGAATAAAGTTGCTGATGATCTTTCAATCGAAGCTGGAAAAATACTAAAACTAGAATCAAATCAACAATTTGGATATTATTTCCGTGTAACATTGAAGGAAGAAAAAGTTTTAAGAAATAAAAAACAATATATTATTTTAGATTCTAATAAAAGTGGTGTACGATTTCGAAGTAATAAATTAAATGATTTAAATGATGAGTACATTGCTATTAGAGATAAATATATAATGGAACAAAAAAAAGTTGTTGCGGAAATAATTGAAATTGCAGGTTTGTATAAATACATAAAATATTAAATAAAGAAGCAATATAATTGTAGCATTTTTACTATTACATTATAAAAATTATATAGCTGGTTATAGTAATACAATAAAAGCTATTGGAAATGTATTAGCATCACTTGATGTACTTACTGCTTTTGCTTCTGCTGCTGTATGTGCTAATAAACCATATGTACGTCCTGAAATGCTCCCTAGTGAAAAAGGAGAATTTAATCTTATTCAAGTTCGACATCCATGTTTAGAAGTTCAAGAAGGAGTAGATTATATAGCTAATAATATCAATTTTAAAAGAGGTAATATTTTTATAAATATAAAATATGATAATTATTTCTATAATAATAAAATTATAGGAGAATGTCATTTTTGTATTATTACTGGTCCAAATATGGGAGGTAAAAGCACATATATAAGATCCGCTGGTGTTAGTGCTCTCATGGCACATATTGGAAGTTTTGTTCCTTGTGATCAAGCAAGAATATCATTATTAGACTGTATATTAGCTCGTGTAGGAGCTGATGATTGTCAATTGAAAGGACTTTCTACATTTATGATGGAAATGATAGAAACTGCTGCTATATTAAAGGTAAATTAATATTTATATCATAAAATAATAATTAAAAAATATTTTATACAATTTCAGACAGCAACATGCAATTCATTGGTGTTGATTGATGAATTAGGCAGAGGAACTTCTACTTATGAAGGTTGCGGTATAGCATGGTCAATCGCCGAGTAAGATTTATAACATTTTATAACATTTATTAAATTTTTTTATATATTTAATATAATTTTATATTTCATAGATATTTAGCAAAAGAAATTAAATGTTATTGCCTTTTTGCAACACATTTTCATGAAATAACTAAATTAGAAGAAGAAATATCTACTGTTAAAAATCAACATGTTACAGCTCTTGTAGATGATAATAAATTAACTTTACTATATAAAATAAAACCAGGAATATGTGATCAAAGTTTTGGCATACATGTTGCTAAAATGGCTAATTTCCCACAAGATATTATTGAGGTAAAATTTTTCTGAATTCAATTAAATTTAAATTTTATTATAATATTAAAAAATTAATTTTTTTTTTCTAGTTTGCTAAACGTAAACAAGCAGAACTTGAAGATTATCAAGATTCACTTTTTGAGGGATCTGATAATCCAACAAAAAAAAAAAGATTATCCAGGTAGTAATATTAATTAATTAAAATTTTATTAAAAGAATATAAAAAATCTTTAATATTTATAATATAATTAATTTATAATATTACAGGAAGCTGAAATCCTTATTGCAGAATTTATTGATAAATGCAAGAATTTAGATCTATCATTATCTGATGCAGAGTTAAAGGATAAGATTTTAACATTTAAAGAAGAAATTTTATCTCATAAAAATCCCTATATACAAACACTTCTTACAGTTTCATAATTTAAAATAAATAATTAAAAATATTCAATAAAAGTAATAATCAGTATTATTTGCAAGAATATTACAATATAATTTAAAATATATTTGTTTCTATACTTATTATTTTTTAGAGCTGAAATATTTTTTGTAATATTAAACATTTCTTTATAGTTTTATTTATTCTAAAAAATTTAGAAACATTCATATAGATTACTTAATTTTATATCTTGTTTTTAAAAATAAAATTTAAAAATTTCTGTTTATTTAATATCATATTTTTATTTATTCAAATCTCCATCATCAATCTCCAATATCACATCACATCTTATATGTATATAAAGCTATTATAAGATACATTATATTTTATAAAATTATCCTAAAAGATATTGTAAAAAGGAATATAATATCTATGTTTTTTTATGTTAAAAAATACGTATATAAATATGTATATTTTATAATAAATAAATAAAATACATTGTAGTCTTGGAAGAGTAATGATAAATCTCATTTATGTTTACATATTAAAAGTAAATATAGACAAGGGGAGCAAATAATAAAAAAGAAGAGATATCATCTTTAAATACATTGCCATAGATGAAACTCAAATATAGACAAGAAGAATAAATAGTAAAAATTGATCATTATCATCTCCCGAATCTAAACAAAATATTTCAAACTATTTAAAAGATGATATTGATTGATATCAATTTTTATTCTATCTTATTTTTATCTTTCTACTATTTGCTCTTTTTTTTATACTTGCTCTGAAAAAAAGTATATATTGAAAAGCAGTGCATATGTAATTAAATTTTATTGTTTCCTTTACTTATCTGTAAATTAAAAATTTAATATAATAATATAATATACATTTTATGATATTTATATCATAATTTTATTTTGAAATAAATCCGAAATAAATATTGCTACGGACTTGCATATTACGGATAAAATTCCAGATATATTATGCAAATTCAATTTAACTTTATATTTGAATGGAACAAAAATTTCGGACAGTAGTAAACCATTAAATGACTAATAAAAATAATCAAAATATTAGTTCCTAAAAATATAACAATTTAAAAACGTATAAAAGATAATATATTGAATTTTAAAAAATTTTTGCATGCTATTTTTAAGATTATATTTTCCTAATACGAAATCGTAAAATAAGATCGAAAATTTTTATCAATGGCACAAAATTTTAAATTATGAAAATCTTGGAAAAATTTCACATAATCTTGGAATAATTTCACACCTTTTACAATTATGTTTTTCTATTACAAAATCGCAAGTGTAAGCAAAAATTATTGTTTGAAATTTCAATTATGTATTACGAGAATATATATATATCTAAAATAATATGTAAAATTTTTTCTGGAATTCTAAGAAATTAAAATTTTCGAATAGCCAATCATTATTTTTTATTAATTTTGCAATTTTTGATTAGAAAAATATAATTCTTTTTAGAAAGTGGTACTTATCGAAATTTTTCGTAAAATTAAAAAAATTTCAATTTCTTAATAAGAGAATATGATATGTGAAGAGATGGCATTCGAAATTTTTCATAAAATTAAAATTTTTTAAATTTCGATTTAAAATTTCGATTTTTCAAAGATTCTAGCTAAAATTTTCGATTTTTTATTAGAAAAATATGAAAAGATAGCACTCGAAATTGATATCGGCAATGACTGTTCTTATGGATTGACTATTTCTATTCACACCACCCAAGATGATCCTTCGCGCCATTTAAACGATATCAATTAATAATAGCGATATAATAGAATATCACTCTACGATACCAGGATCAACGAATCATGATGGTAATTATTACGCGTCATAAATGGCAAAATATAAATTAATATATAATTTTATTTTTGAAAAACTCACCGGGAATAGAGAATGGGAAATAAGACAGCTTTTTTATTGAACCAAAAATGATATTTCTTAATATTCTTTCTTCTTTGTAAAATGACTGCAAATATCAAATACATCCTTTTATAAATTTTTCGGTAGCATCGTTCCACCAATCAGAATGAAAGAACAATCTTATTGGTGCGGAGGTGCTTCTTTTTTGGAAGGAACATTAGATTACGTTAAATAAATTTGCGAAAGTAAATAATTTAAATGAAAGAATATATATATAAGAATATAAATAAATCAATGAATATAAATAATATTATATAAATATATAAATTAAAAAATAAATAATAACAAATAAATATATATATTTTAATAATAAAAACATAAAAATAAATGTTCAATTCTATTTTTAATGTTTCGAGAAAATAGAAAATAGTTTTCTATCAAATAATGTTTCTTGATTTAGCTCAATTTTTTCTTTATAACGTTTCGAAGTAATAATAATTAAAAATGCACGTCGTTTTTTACATATTTTTCGATAGCATCATCGTACCAATACAAATTGTAAAATTTAAACAATTTTCTTAAGATGGAAATACTTCCTTTTGGTGGAATAGAATTGTGAAAATAAATAAATAACATTAAATGAATAAAATAAGAAATAATGAAATCAAATAAATCAGTGTATGTAAATAATATAATATGGTTTTATATAATATGTAAATGAACGAACAAATAGATAATAAAGAAATGTAAATTAAAATGTAATTTTATTTTTGAAACTCACCGGGAATAGAGAATGAAGAATAGAGCAGCTCTTTCATTGAATCGAAGGTAACATTTCTTCAAACAACTTCTTCTTTGTTCTTCTGTAGAATGACTGCAAATATCAAGTACATCCTTTTATAAACTTTTCGGTAGCAACTTTCTACCAATCAGAATCAAGGAACAATCTTATTGGTGCGGAGGTGCTTCTTTTTTAGAAGGAACGTTAGATTACGTTAAATAAATTTACGCGAAAATAAATAATTTAAATGAAATAATATATATAATAATAATAAAATTAAATAAATCATTTTATATAAGTAATATTATATAAATATATAAATGGAGGAATAAATAATAACGAACAAATATATATTTTCTGATAATAAAAATACATAAACGTTCGATTTTATTTTCAATGCTTCTAGAAAATAGAAAATAATTATCTATTTGGAAAAATGTTTCTTGATTGTTTCATTTCAATTTTTATTTATAATGAATAGAAATAATAATACCTTGTTTTTTATAAATTTTTCATTACCATAATTAATCAGAATTGAGAATTGAGAATTTTCAAAAGATGGAAATACTTCTTTTTGATAGGAATACATTGTGAAAATAAATAAATAATGATAAATGAATAAAATTAAGAACAGTGAAATCAAATAAATCGATGTATCTGAATAATATTATATGGATTTGTAAATGAATGAACAAATTAATAATAAAGATATCTAAATTAATATGTAATTTTATTTTTGAAGCTCATTGGAAATAGGGAATAGAGCAGATTTTTTATTAAATCGAATGTATTCTTTTTTAATGTTGTTCTTTATTCCTAATTCTCAATTTTAATAACTGTAAATGATAATTATATCCTTTTATGAATTTTTCAATAGCATTTCTGAACCAAAATCGTAGAATAATCCTATTGGAACTATAAGATGCTTTCGTTTCGATAAGAAAGTCAAGTTAATTAATTTTAATTTGTGAAATCTTTCACTATTTTTCAAATTAATGAGAAATTAATAAATAAATGCAGTAATCTTTTAATAAAGTTTAAGTAATCTTTTAATAAGTTTATTTAAATAATTTTATATATTTAAACTATTTCTAAATGTTAATATAGTAACATTTAGTAAGAGCTCTTCTGATTGGTGCGGAGGTGGTACCGAAAAAGGTATAAAAGGATGCTCACTGATCATTTGCAGTCATTTTGCGTAAGGATTCGGAGAGGATAACTTTGTGCTTGTTTTAAGAAGAAACGTATTTCTTGTAAGTTTCAAAAATAGATATTCTTTTTTTATTCTTTTCTATTTATTTATTTATTTTCATATTTATATTTTACAATTTATATTTTTATTATTTATTATTTTTTATTTTATTTTCATTATTATTTATTTGTTTAATTTTTTTTAATTTTTATTTTAACTTTTTTTGTTGTAGTTCTATTTTTATAATGATTAATTTTTTATGATATATATAATGATTATTAATATTAATATTATTAAAATAATTTCTAATTTTAATATTTCTTATTTATCATTAATTTTATTAATATTAATTTAATAAATAAATTTAATTTAATTTCCGCGCGAAAATTAGATAATGAAATTTTGTTACAGCCAATCAGGAAGCAGCTACGGCCCAACACTCGACGAATCAGTATGTTTGGCGTCAGTCTGCTGTTGGGCGTTGTGGGGATAGGACGAACGAAGATACAATGGGTGAGTGACTACATATAATTTGTAATTAATATATTATTACAATTTATAAATGATTAAATATTTATTTAAACGTATATTAAGTGTTATTAAAAAATGCTTCATATACGTTTAATTAAATAGTTCTTTTGTATTCGTTTTTATTGTGACATATGTAGTTTGTCTATTGATAATTATATTAATTTATAATTTATATTAGAAATCCTTGAATCAAAATTTGAATCTAAATATTGTGTTTTATCAATATAATTTTTTAATTTTGTATGTTTAATTTACAATTTTGATTTTTATTCGTGCAGATTTTCGTTAGATCGTTGTAAAGTAATATTGAATGAGTAATTATTAATACGCGTTTAAGGGATAATCCAATAATTTTTTTTCTTTTCTTTTTTAATTTTTTCTTTTTTTAAATTTTTCTATTCATTAGTTGGGAAATAAAAGCAGTTAAATTATTATATCAATTTTATTTCGCATATACGTAATTTCGAATATTTCTTTCTCTTCCGTGTATTTATTCTGTGTCCTCAACTTGTGTATTATTTCGTTTGGATTTTACACTTAAGGCGTATTATGATTTCCTATAATCCGTTTCTAGGAAATTGTCGGTTTACATTCGTGTTCGATATGTCGTACGACTTTCCACCGAACAAATCCCCACTACGAATTTATAATTTTATAAACAAATTCGTGTCGCGGAGTATCATTCTATTACCGAAAGTTGAACTAGTAGAACGCTTTGCTACAGGTGCGTGACTATTGCGTAAAATATTCTTTCTACAGTAATTTTTTTTTTGCTTTCGGGTATTTAACTAATATTAATATCTAATCAATAATTTATTAAATATTATATTTTCTTGAAAAAAATTTTTTTTAAATTTATTATTTTTTCTTTTATTAGTTTATTGTATCGTTAGAATTATAGATAGTATGAGTTTCAAAAAAAAAGATTTTAATTTGATCGTTGTCTTTTATTATTTTATTTTTAATACAATACGTTCTAATTTTATATATTTGTTATATTTACTTTAAAGATTTAATTATTTCTTTGTGCAGGTTAAAAGTTGATTACTGAGAAAACTTTTAAGATGCGATTTCAATATTGATGCCATAATCGGATGGTGACTTTATGGTAAAGCGGTAACGTTTAATTTTTTGTATCAAAAATAAATATATTCTTACTTACTTTTTATTCTATTATTGTTAATATGTTAAATAATTCATAATTCTATTTTGAATTAAATAATTCATAATGGTTAATGCTTCAAAAAACAAGTGAAATAGATTAAACGAATCATATATTTATTTCGATATGTTATATTATTTTTTTAATTCCACTTGATTGAATTTATTTTTCGCTTTCAGTTAATTCTGTAGCTTGAAGTGATAATAATTTTTATGAACAAATGCTCGATAACCTATCCTTTCCCACTAATACAGATTTACTTTCAGAAAATTTTTGTGATCGCGCGCAATGCGATCGGTAGAATCAGTGTTTGTTTCGTAATAAAGTATCTTTAATATTTTTTAGAGCACAGCTGCTCTAATTTAATTAAATTATAACAATCATTCGCGAAATTAGAGTCAGTGTTTGTTCGCCGAATATTAAATACGGACGCGTCAGTAGTTCATTTATTTATTTTTTTTTTTTCTTACAAATTTTCGTTTTCGGCACAGGGTAAAATCAGTGATCTCAAGAACATAAGGCGATCATCCATCACGCGAAGAGGTAATTATCTTTACATATTTTCAATCATCTTGTTTTATCATTTGATTTTACTTTAATTATTAATCGAGAAATAAATCGCCCTTTTGGAAAAATTTATCATTTTTTTCAACTAAATTTATAAATTAGTAGATTTTTATTTCTTAGATATTAAGTATTAAAATTTTAATTTTTATTATAATATATTTTAAAGATTAGTAATATTTTAATTTTTTATTTTTATTGAATTTTGGAATTAAACAGAATCAATAATCAAAATTGTTTTTTTTTTTAAATTAATGTAATATTTTGTATTTTGTTGAAGGTACTGTTATCGTGTCATCCTCTGGACTTTTGAAAAAATATTTTTGTGATCGCGCGCAATGCGATCGGTAGAATCAGTGTTTGTTTCGTAATAAAGTATCTTTAATATTTTTTAGAGCACAGCTGCTCTAATTTAATTAAATTGTAACAATCATTCGCGAAACTAGAGTCAGTGTTTGTTCGCCGAATATTAAATACGGACGCGTCAATAGTTCATTTATTTATTTTTTTTTTTTCTTACAAATTTTCGTTTTCGGCACAGGGTAAAATCAGTGATCTCAAGAACATAAGGCGATCATCCATCACGCGAAGAGGTAATTATCTTTACATATTTTCAATCATCTTGTTTTATTATTTGATTTTATTTTAATTATTAATCGAGAAATAAATCGCCCTTTTGGAAAAATTTATCACTTTTTTCAACTAAATTTATAAATTAGTAGATTTTTATTTCTCAGATTTTAAGTATTAAAATTTTAATTTTTATTATAATATATTTTAAAGATTAGTAATATTTTGATTTTTTATTTTTATTGAATTTTGGAATTAAACAGAATTGAATCAATAATCAAAATTGTTTTTTTTTTAAATTAATGTAATATTTTATATTTTGTTGAAGGTACTGTTATTGTGTCATCCTCTGGACTTTTGAAAAAAT